AGTGTTGCAGGAGACTACACATCCTTTAACTTAGTTCATGAGGGCTACACAAATGGAGTAATTTAATGAAACTCATGGGAGGGTGATTGCTATTTTTGATTTTCATGAAGCTAATGGTGAACCGATGCAAATGTTTTTTCCCTGATGCTCAATTCAAGGGATATCTCTTCTGTACCACAAATTACTGCATTATTTACACATCGGTAACACAGAGCTAGTAAACTAATCCTTACTTCGACATCCTATTTTACCCACATCATTCAGAACTGATAAGAGAACTGACCATGATAAGATTTTTTGCAAATGGAAAGCAGTATTAGGAATAAGAAGCATGATTCAGAACTTTTCAGATGGCACAAAAAATGGCCAGGTAATTGATAGTGAGGAGGATGGGTGTTGACTACAGGTTTGGTTGAGTGGGCAGTCAAGTGGCAAATTGAAATCAGTCCAGAGAAGTGCAAAGTTATGAATTTGGAGTAAGCCAACACATTAAACAAACAGACAATAAACAGGAGGATATTAAGGGCACAGGAAGTGAGAGACCCTGGATCCATATCCCTAGGTCCCTGAAGTGGAAAGATACATAGATAAGTTGTTAAAGAAGGTATGTAGGATGCTTTTTTAAAGTGGGCAAAATAATAATTACAAGGGCAGGGATGTAATGTGAAACTATACAAGACACCGGTTAGGCGACACCTGAGGTAGTATACACAGTTCTCGTTTTTGCCACATTACAGGAAGGATACAAGTGCTATAGAAAGAGTGCAGAGGAGATGTACAAGAAGGTTGTCAGGGCTTGAAAATTGCAGCCACAAGGAAAGATTGGATAGGCTTGAGTTGTTTTACTCAGAATAGAGGAAGCAGACAGGTGACTTAATTGAGGTGTAGAGTGGACAGGGAAGATCTGTTTCCCCTCACAGTGAGATTTGAGGTGACTAGTAGAAGGAGTAGAGGGGGCAGGAGTAAAACCTTTGGATGGGTGTCTGGAATTCACTGCCTAGTTTAGTGACTTTAGCAGAAAACCTCAACTCATTTGAAAGGAACCTGGATCTGCACCCTAACTGTTGTAACCGGCAAGGTTACAGAACATGTGCTGGTCAGTGGAATTAGAATGAGCGGCTAGATTATTCAACTGGCACAGACATGATGGACTGAATGGCCTCTTTCCATGCTGTAACTTTTCTACTTAGTGATAACAAATTAATATTAGACACTAATTTGATAAGGCAGCATCTTCCAAATTGTGTCCATTATATAATTTCATTTGGTATTAGGTTTGAGAAGGAGGAATATTCACATGCAGTGTCCTGTCCTCTTCACAGAGAGGTAACATGCCCAGGTATTTCAATTGAACAAAAATACAGGGGACAATAGCACCCTGTTATATTCATTTATAGAAAAGGCTTAACCAGTGTTGGCTTCTCAGCTAACCAGCAGTCTTTCCGCATGTAGTATAATCACTGTTGAAATAACCCCATAGAGGCTGGTATCCCATCACCAAGTCACCCTTTATTTACATATGAACAGTCCCTGACTTTAATTCTGCTTCTTCCGAGTCAGGTTTCAATGTGGCATTATCTCTCACACTCCCTTTTTTATCTATCAGTCAGGTTAACAGCCCCAATCAAGGAACTCATATTCTAGAGGTCCACCTAGTTGACCTCATTACAATAACTACATCCTTCCCCCTCTGAGTCCCAGGATATAAGCCGGTCCTTTATTTTGGAGAGCCTCTTGTGGTGTTTTAGCACCAGGTCAGGTTCCTCTGAATTGGTGTCAGATGCAGGGGGTGTGTAAAGCACTCTTGCACCAGGAGAATTTCAATCTCTTCTTCCAGTGGTAAAGGCATTGAGGCTGCTATACCCATCATGTCCATCTCTGATTCTGAGGACTCGTCAATGCCTGATAGAAAAGGTAAACCCCTGGATTCCAGCAGCCTTTCCAAAATTCCAAGGGGCAGGGTACATTTTATGCCCGCACCGTTTGCGAATTCGCGGATTTTGTGTGGGCCACGTGTTTGTTCTGGACCATCACTCCTAGCCGAATTTTATGAGTCACTGGTACTGAAAGCAATCAGGACAACCAAAAGTGACCAGAAAAACCATTTCCAGTAAATTGATTGGAAGATTTTATAAATACATTCAGAGAATTTATTGAATGGGGCAAGAGAGCTGAGTATCAACAGAACAAGGGAACATAAAATAAGTCAAAGAAAGGAACTTAACAGATTTAATAGAAGGGACAAAATTGTTTTCATGAAAAACAATATAACTTAAGCTAAACAAATTTCCAAGATTGAGGGGGTCTTCACTCCGTGGTACTAAAAGATACAAAAGAAGAAATTGAAGTAAGATGATTCTAATTTTCCAAAATCCAAACAAAAAGTCCTGGAGAATCTCAGCAGGTCTGGCAGCAGCTGTATAGGGAAAAACACGGTTAACATTAAGTACAAAGATTCTTCACAGATGCTGCCAGATCTGTTGAACTCTCCAGCGCTTTGTTTTTATTTCAGATGTCTAGCATCGTGTCTTTAACATATTTTCAGAAGTTTTCAATGTTCTCAAATTATGGCTTTGGCTTAAAAAAATTATAAATCTCAGTGCATTATTTAAGGCATATCATTCATGAAACAATGAAAATAATCCCATTCTGTTGCAAGGAGAAAGTAAGGCAGCAATGTGGAAGATTAGACTTTGACTGCAAATGTATGCAAGACTCAGTTTGAAGATGATGTTACAGGAACTGACTGATCATACATTAAGGTAATCTTATTTATCTTTATTGGCTATCAATTTTTTACCCTTCCCCTGGATTTGCTGATTTATGAGAGAATCTGGACTAATGGGTACTGATGAAAATGATCAATTTTCATGTGGGAGACTAAATCATGAAAGATGGCAAGTTGGTCAACTGTGGAGAGTCAGAGTTGATCCTATCCTATCTCAATATTCAATACTACAGAGCAAACTGAATATCAATCAGTAATCTGAGATCTCACCTGAAATTTCTCCTATTTGGTGGGCTACTGAGGCCAGTCGATATAACTGTGCTACTTCTTCAGCAGCGTTAAATTAATATAGCACAGATCAAGGATCAACTCTTTCCAAGATGGAGACGCACATCTGCGGTGGCCTCAAACACAGGAGAGAGCGAGCCCAATGTGGAGTAGATCGATCCCAACATAGAGGAGATCGAACCCTTTTGGGGAGTGCGAGCCCAGCATGGCTAAGCACTGAAGGACTGTAATGTTGACGTTTACATTTATTTATTTTTCCACTTTATACTAATATGGACTTTAATGTTGACTTTTTAATTTTATTTTCCTTATTTTTCTACTTTGTACCTAAGCTTTTCCTAGATGGAACTAGGAATGGCGACTTTGTACACATTTCACTGTTCTCCAGTATCCCTGTATTGAGTATATGTGACAATAAAATCTCATTATAATTCTAAGCCTTGGATTTTCTGATGTGTATGCTCAAGAACACATAGTTTGTCCACTGGCTGATCCCTGTGGAGAATTGCTATTGATTATTTACTTACACTATCTTTAAAATGGCATTGTCTGAAAGGTTTTTTTATTACAAAATCGAAGGTATAAAAAGAATTGGACACTAAATCCAAATGAAACCTCTATGTACAGAGCAATGACATTTTCCATTTATTCTGATAGTTTCCCTTGAATTTACAAATGCCCTAGCTTTGATTGTAATTGGATTGGGTGTCATTACTGCAGTGTCAGACATCGGGGAGGTCTCAGCAAAGATTTGAAATGAAGGACTGAATTGTGATGAAGACCAAAGTTTTCCATCCTGCTCTCTTAGGTCATTTAAATGGAATTGAGAGGTTGAGCGTAAATGGATAATAATATGCAAATTAACTATCAGTACAAATAACAGTGAGGGGTGGGGGAGGTGGCAGACTCAATTCCTCCACTCTGAAGTGAAGTGGTTGAGCTGACCAATAAAATCAAGCTGAATCATTCAGAGGCATTATTTTGAGTAAATATTTATTCAAAAACTACACTAAGCAACAAATTCAGGCACACTTTAAAAGGGTTGGGGAATGTAGTAAATAGTATGTATAATAAAAGTCCATTTGAAAGTAGGTGGCTCAAAACATTGCCTACTTTTGTAGGATATATACAGACTCAAAGTACTCATACTGATCATTTCAGAAAACTGGTAGAACTTATTTCAAAAACAATGACACAAAGTAGTATACATAGTAATTAGGAGAAATTGTATTTTGAGGGTCTTTATTAAATCAATTTCGTAATAAATCTCCGCGGCAAAAATGTCTATAACTGAGGTTATAACTGAGAATGACAGAATTGATTGACAGCTGCAGCCTTGTAATTCAAAGCAGTGACTTTTGATGTGAGTCTTGTAGCCAAGGGCCTTGTTGTTAACTATATATTTTGAAGATTCAGGTGTATAGCTCTTTACTACAAATTAAAGTACAGTTACACTCTCATTTTGATAATTCATTACTAAACCCCACTTTGATTCTCTATAATTTCTATCAGTCATTCTTAATAGATAGTTGGTGTGCATTGAGCAAACTATAATTATTTTCTATCACCCAAATGTCAGTCAGTGTTGGCAACAGCTGAAACAAAGGCAACTGAGAGCAATGATGAGTTTCTGCACATGCCCTGTAACTGAGGAAGATAAAGAAGAGGACTACTTTCATAAGCACCAACAGAATAACTTTGTGCCATCCCAAAATAGCTCATTAAGAAAAAGGACACCAAAATCTTTAATTATTTTCTCAGAAAAAATCAACAAACATGAAAACAACTAAATGATGCAATCCTCAATGAATGGTAAACATAATCTTTGGCTTGAAGAACTATACCAGAAAATCTTTTCAAACCTTTTACTATCAGAATCAGTGTTGCACATTCAGATGGTCTCTTATGTAAAACTAATATCATGGCGCAGATTGTTACACTACAAAACACAAGACCAGAATAAATAATCAATTAATTAACTCACCTTTGTTTGAGCTATTTGAAGGAACCCAATCAGTTTCCTTTAGAGTTCTGAATTGGACGCGCTTGCTTGCCCGACTTTCCCCATTCAGACCAACTGACTGAACTTGAATCACATATTCCGTGTCTTCCTCCAAATCCCACAGCACACAGGCTCGATTTGTTGTATTCACTTCACGGATAGATCTTTGCATCTGACCATCTTTCCTCTGCATCAAACAGTAAATTGAAAAATGAGTTGATGATAAATACATGATTCTGATTAAAGTTCAGCTCATACTTCATAAACTGCCCATGCGGTCGCCTTGTCAATGTATAGTTCATGAAAACAATTGCAGTTCCATTGCAAGATCTGCCAAATAGTGTCCTGATCATTACCTCTTCTACAAGGAAAGAGTTTTATTTATAATTCATTGAGAGACCTCAAAACTCAATTGAAGTCCAAGCAAAAGTGTTGAATCTGCAAATTAATTTCAAATCAATCTGTTTCTAACCTTCATTATTTAAGAAATGAGAGAGGAAAGAAAGGAGGACCTACACATTCAGGAGAATCAATTTGGATTGCATGAGAGGGATGCAGAGTACAATGGCTGTGCCCAAATGACAAGGCAATGGCAATGGAAACACCACCAATATTGGTCCTCGGGCCTCATTTTCACAAAGATGGAGAGCTACAGATGACTAGAGGCAGACTGCCCAGCACAGTGTGTTTGATGATTTAATACTGTTAACAACAACCCTCAGGCAAGTGAGGAAGGACAAATGCATGTCAGAAGTGGAGTTAGATTGTTGGTGATGGAGAAATTGATAGTTGACAAGGCCGTCTTCCATGTTCTGTTAAAGTGAGTTCAAGAACAGCACTCCTCCTGCTCTGGTTCCTCTTTCAGGCAAATACCTTTTAGGAACTTTGTTTTGTTGTGGCTGTTTTTTTTCTCTTTGGTAACTGTTGCCTCACAGCAAACTGATATTCCCAGCATCAGGCCTGTTATTTGCAAATGCAAAGATCCTAACCCCCAATGAAGGGTTAAGAGACTCAAATAAAGGGGAATGCATTCTCAGTACACCACACATGAGCCCAATGCCTTCTCATACTGTTGAATATCATGACTTCTTAGTGTCACTTAGTGTTCTTAGAAAAAACATTTAGCATATTTCAGTCAGGCTTGTTCTGTGTAATTGGCACCTCAATTTAAAATTCGTTGCTGCGGTGCATCTTTTCCAGGGTGAGAAAATCTGGCAGTAAAATGGAGGAGGGAGCTGCCAGCACCATAATATGAGTACCGTGCCCAATATTCCTGTGAGCCAAAAAGAATAGGATTGCCCCACAAGGAAGGCTCCACTGCAGACCTCTCTTCTTTTTACTACACTGACTAACGACCTTCCCAGCTTCCACCTGATGGGTCTCTTCTTCAAAACACCCAACTAAAGCATCCCACTGCTGCTTTTCTGTCTTGGCTAACCTGGCTGTCAATTTCGACAGTGGTCAGGCAAAAACACAACAAAAGAATGATAATGGGGTGCTGGAACTTGGTACCATGAGGAATAGTTGATGCAACTTGTGTAGCTGCATTTAGCAGGAAGCTGGACAGACACATGAAGAAATCAACAGAAGGACATGTTAATGGGGCTAGAAAAAGGACAGGTGAGGTTGGAGGAGACTTATGTGGGGCTGTTTGAGCTGTAACACCATATGAATGTTTCCTAGAAACCCATTGTTTTGTTTTCAATAATGATATTCCTTGAGTGCCTGTGATAATTCCATCTGCTTCTCATATTTGAACGCGTTCTTTTTGACAGATGTGACTACTACCTTCTGGAGGCATTCAAGACATTGGATGGATTTGGCCTTTGTTTTGGAGTGTATGACTGATCCAGAATTATTAATGATGATGATTAAGAATGCAAGTGAAATTTTCTAGTTAGTGCAATGTCTGAGTTACTGCTGGAACAGGTTTTACTGCATCTATTTTCCAACCAAGATAGGGCGTTGTTTTTAATGCTTAGATTTCTAATCAACAGCCATGGAAAAGTGAGGCATCTGGGTTAACTGTTGAATATGAAAGAGATTCAAATTAATAAAATGATCCAAAGAATGCTAGATTGCAAGGTTGGCTTTTTAATTCAATAATAAGTCTCCAGTCATTAAAAACGGGATAATGTTGAATAAAAAATTGCACTGGTGACAAGTTCAGTTTTCAAGATTGCCTGCAAAGCTAAACAACTTATGCCTTTCCCTCTCTCCCAAATGCCCCATTAAAGCATTTATAACAACGGTGATTACAGTTATTATAATGCATACTGAAAAATGACAGAAAGGACAGAGCTAGCTCATCTTAACAAACAAACATCAGATCATATTAATACCAACTTCAGATAAAATTCTCACCCCACTACTTAAAGTGATCTATATTTGAGCTAACAATCCAAACTAATGTAACAACAATTAGTGGAAATAAATGAATAAACGACACACATCTACAAAACTAAAACAAAATAGATAAGATTCACCATGATCATCTTGGTACTGCATTGCAAGGAGTTCATTAGAAACCAGCAACAGCAGGAAGCTGAATCAGAATTGGTACGAAGCTGTGATATCACGCTGAAGAACTTAAGTGCTGTGCCGTGATGCTCTATACAGCTGCTATCACCTACAGTGTGGTGGAATGATGTTAGCTGGAGGTCAGATGATAAGGAGATATTTAAAAGGTAATTTTAAAACCCCGTGGTGACAGAGGTTTACGCTGATTTTATAGCCATTTAAATTTAAAAATCTAATTCCATTAACAGGAAGGCCACCCACTCTAGAGGGACAGGCAGTCTAATTTAAACTGGAGTAATTTGAAGATTCTGTGCTGTTAATATATCTTTTGATGTGATATATCTTTTCTGGTAAGGCTGCGGATCCAGGTCCATACATGAGCCAAAGAGAGCTTGTTTCTGACACTTTGGGCCTTACCTTCTGGGCTTTGATCCATCCTGTATCTACTTTGTTGGGACCATCTGTGCTATCTCGCAGCAGCTCAACAAAGCCCACTCCAGCAATCTGGGCCCCTATCCAGCAGCAATGATGTCATTCCCAGTGGTTTTTGGCAGAGCCAAAGTAAGCAAACAAGGTGCAGGAATTAAAATCTCTTTTTTGCCTCATGCTCAAGGGGGCTAAGCAGTTTGCTGCCCACTTCAATCTCCATATTGTGTTCATAGTTAAAATAACCTTTAAGTTTTAAATTCAATGGAAACAAACAAACAATCACTTGCATAAATCAAATATAGAATCTGATTTTTTTCATTATGAATGGAGCTGGGGAGTGGGGACATAGGAGAGGAGCGGGGGAAAAGGAGGGAAGTATGGCAGTGTGGCCAAGGAAAGGGAACAAGGCCAGGAGAAGGGGAGGAGAACTGGGATGGGGGTGGTGGTAGGAATCCTAAGGGAGGAGGGAGCCCAGGGGACAAAACAGATACTGGGGAAGGAGAGAGAGCACAGGGAAGGGGAAAGGGGCTGGACGAAGATACCTTAATAGGGGTAGGTGAAGACAACTTTCCTTTTTAGAGAAATGGTGAAATGATCCCAAAAAATTACACAGTGTGTAGAAGGCTGTTGTGTTTATAAAGGTATCCAAGAAAACTTTGAACCCTCACTACTGGGAGAAAATGATAGAATTTTTATAACAGTAAAAGTGGTCTAAAATAAGAGCTGTTGTAATACTACTTTTTATGGGAGATAGAACATTGTCCTTGTCCACTAACCATTCCAAATCCTTGGGTACTTAGCTGCAAACGTTCCACCATTAGAAGTCTACTCAACTTCTGGAACATGACATTTGTTAACTTCTGAGAGTGAATTCAATTATTCTGATATTGATTACAATGAAAACTGACAGTTGCTGAACAAAGCTGCATCAAACAACAGTCGGCTGAGATTTCATAACCACAGCTAAGAATTGAAATGATTTTGTAAAGCATTACCAATTGTGAAATGGCATAACCAATGATAATGTCTCCTTCAGGAATATCCCAGGACACAGTGGCAGAGTTGGCCTTCAGGTGACTGACAGTGACATTAACAGGAGCAGGTGGTCTATCAGCTGAAAAACACAAATCAATGGTTGACATTAGAGTCATTGTCCTTTGCAACTGCCAACACTCCTGATAAATATTTATCTTACTGACTAATGATACATCAACATGTTTATCCATCAGCAAATGTAAAACACGCACTGCTAATTTTGTAATGATAAAGATGATGTTTTACTGATAAAAATTTTAATTCATTTTGTTAGTCCTCTGAGAACCATTTTGCACCACTGTGAAATGATGTCATTTGCAAAATGTTGTCTCCATTAGGTTTGTGTTATTGTCGTTACCACAAACACTCTCTCAGGTAGAAAGAATGTGATGTCTGGATTTCAGACCTTCTAAACCTTGTAGATTTCTGACAGGTGACATTAATAATAATTCACAGGTGAGACTCTTCAAACTATTGAATGGTTCAAGTCTTTTTGGCATTTACTGTTTTGTTCCATCAGAATTTCCAGCTCATTTTGAAGCTTTTGATTCTACACTCTGGATTGTTCTAACTCTATCAAGGTGGACACATCTAAATCTAGAAACCATAGCTCTAAACACAGTTTAAACGTTATAAGTTCTGTTAGGAGGTCCACTGAGTCCCAATATAAACTATAGAATTTTGTGGACATCCTGACAATGTGCCTTTCACCATCCAAGTTTGCTACTGATCCTGAACAAACCCAATCACTTCCATTTCTCATGTGAGTAAAACTGGCCTCTCAACTGACATTTGTCTGCTTACCAGTATGTTACGTTTTCAACAAAGCAACAAAGATATTAAGGGTTATCATGCTACAGTATAGCATGATTCAGTACATTTAGTCATGTGTTTCATTTGCAGATTAACTTGCTTGGAGATTGTTTCAGCATGATAAGCCTCATGATGTTTTTACAACGGTTCACAATGTCACATTAATGATTATGGTCTAAAAATCAATCACTCATCAGAGATTGATTATTTCTATGGGTTGGTTTACTTCAGACAGTAAAATGCAAGTTGTGAAACAGACATTACAGCAGAACAATTGATTTGAGATTGTGCAGCTTGCAAACATGAAGCAGGCAAACAGCCAGGCAGTGTCACAACATTCAGCAGCACCTTAGAGGTGAGCTCTCTTAAAGGTACGGTACACATATAATAGTGAAAGAAATATTAAAAATGGACTTCAGAGCTCCTGAACTCTGTGATTAATTGATAAATCAGTTTAGTTCATATGACTTCATTTCTCTCTATTGTCATGTGAATGTGATGTTATATCTGATAGTTTAGCACAAAGCCATTCTTTGCAAGGAGTTTATTAAAGAATGAGAGAAATATAAAGCCACTCAATTGTCATGAGTTACATTCAATTCCCCATTTTCAGTCCTGACTTCAGTCATGTTGATTTGGGCAGGGACAGAACGAAGACTGGCCTCTTTCTTGGTAGGATTGGAATATAAGCACCTTTGTTGGACTCCCCCAAAGACAACAATCTACTTTAGCAAGCTGTACTTGGCTCAGCAAGGCCTCAAAGAATTACATTTCGACTTCCTTCCTTCTACGCCATCCCATCTTAATAAGGGCTAACATACCATGTGCTATACTAATTTTAAAATCCCATTCATTTCACTAACAGAAATATATTAAGGGAAGGAAATCTTCTGTCCTGACTTGATCTGGCCTTCATGTGAATCCAGACTCTCATGGCTCATAACTGCCCTCTCAAATAACCTAGCAAGCTATTCAGTTGTGTCTACTCATGATAAACACTAATGAAAGGAATTGAACCGGACAGACCACATGGCATTGACCCAGACATTGGAAATGACAGTGAGAAATGTGGCACTGTTCAATTTGCAATATCCTCTTTTGTGAGATCTGGGGATTTGTGCCTAAAGTAGGGAGTTTACCCATAGATATGTTAAGCAACAACCTGACATTGTCTGTGTAAGTTATGACTTTGAGAATCTATGTCCTGGACAGCACGATCATTATGCCTGGGTATGTCTTGTCCCACTTGACAGATCCAGCTGAGTGGCAATACAGTGGTATATAGTCAAAAGGACTTGCCCTGACAGTCCTTAACATTGTGTCATAGAGTCATATAGCACAGAAACAGACCCTACAGTGCAACTCATCCATGCTGACCAAGTTTCCCAAACTAAACTAGTCCTACTTGCTTACATTCAGTCCATATCCCTCTAAACCTTTCCTATTTATGTGCCTGTTCAAATATCTTTTAAATGTTGTAACTGTACCAGCATCCATCACTTCCTTTGGCAGTTCATTCCACATTTGAACCTCCCTGTGCGTTGAAAAAGTCACTTCTCAGGTCCCTTTTAAATCTTTCACCTCTTACCTTAAGAATATGCCCTCTGGTTTTGAACTGCCCGACCCTGCAGAAAGACCTTTGCTATTCAAGTTATCTATGCTCCTCATGATTTTATAAACCTCTACAAGGTCGCCCCTCAAGCTCTGCACTGATGGACACTAGACCCATGAAGTTGCATGGCATGGGGTTAAATGTGATTAAGGAAGCATCCTGCTGATCACCACCATTACACCACACACCACTCCCCCAAAACTCCCGCCAGCTAATAATTAGTTTAACTCTATGTTGATCAACAGCTGGAAAGTGTACTGATGGTAGAAGGGGCACAGAATGTACTCTGGATAGGGGACTTCAACATCCATCATCAAAACTGACCATGTTGGTCAAGTTCTAAAGAACACATATGCTAGATTGGATTAGCAGTAGGTGATGAGAGATTAAACGAGAGGGAAAAAAGCTACTTGGCCTGGTCTTCATGAATCTACCAGCAGCTGTTGTATTTTCACATCACTAACACTTCTACAGTAGCGAGGAGGCAATGACCATGGATGGTGAGGCTCCATGTTAACACTGGCAGATTTGTTTTGTCCTGGGGTATCCTTCTCTTCCGGGTTTTCAGCCTGTGTCTACGTGAGTTTCCTCCGGGTGCTCTGGTTTCCTCCCACAGACCAAAGATGTATAGGCTAGGGTGGATTGGCCATGCTAAATTGCCTGCAGTGTTCAGGGATGTATAGATTATAGGGGGATGAGTCTGATTGGGATGCTTTGAGGGTTGGTGTGGGCTTGTTGGGCCAAAAGGCCTGTTTCCACACTGTAGGGATTCTATGATCTGTGAGGATATTGTCCTTTAGGAGAAGACTGAAATTTCTCATCCATCTATTTGAGTGGGGCCATTGATTAGAATAGACAAATATATGACCGATATTTCTCAGGTTAAACAAGCTCTGTTGAATTCTGCCTCTATTACGTTAAAGAAGAGTTTGCTGCATAATCACTTATTTTGTGTACATCATTTAAACCTTCATAGGCTCCATGCTATTCCTTTGGCAAGCAATCCTGGTCATTACAATTCACAGGAAGGAAGTGGTTTTGGGGATGTGCAGCACTTTATTAAGAAAAAAAGCTCTATGGCTGGCAAAATTTAGTAAATGAAGAAAGAATAACATTTCCAATCCTGGTAGATCAAAATCTAAAGGGTATCATTTAAAGGTTAGGTATTCTAGAACAGTCAGGGAGATTGCTTGTGCAATATATATAAAACATGGAACAATTTTTCTAGGAGGTCAATTTAAGCAAGTATAAATTGTAACAAAGGTTAATTCTTGGATTGGCCCGGAGCCTCCACTTACCATTAGAAAGCTCAGACTAACAGTTATTTTATAAAATGTGTTCTTTCTTTCCCAGATGCCTCCATTGTAAGGAACCAGCTTGGTTTCAGCCAGATCACTGAAACCCACACTTTACTGTTCTAGCACAAGGACATATTTCTGCAAAGAATAAATACATCTTAAGAAAGAACATTTTGGTTCAACAAATATTCTGAGTTAGAAACAATGTACCCCAACCCCAGTTTCTAATTACCTCATGGCGAATGGTGCTGAAGTTAACATGACTGATTCCCAATTTATTTTTGTGGGAATTTATAAATTGTAAGCTTGTAGTATACACATGACAACACTGACTACTTTTATCTCTATCTGTAAATGAGACACTTTAAAAACAAATTTTAAATTCTTAAGAGAAAGAGTAATAAATATTTTAGAAGCATGGAAAATGTCTCATTAAAAAAGTGCAGTAAACACTGAAGGAATATTCAAGACTTAATTTCAGAACACAGACTTCTTTATCATTCCAAAATAGCGCAAGTAGAAAAGAACAAAACCTGCACAAATACCATTCACTGCATCAAATCTGGGCTCTTAATGAGGTTTGTGTATGAACTGGATACAAGCAGTTCACCTCACTAAAAATACAAAAGCACCAATTGTCATCCAGAAAGAACTCAGGCATAAGCAGCTTTCCAAGTTCAGCACTTTATCTGCATTACTTCTATAACTATTCTGAGCACACTGGGCCACTGACTGCTAAAGGGCTTTGATTTTCATCCAATCTCTTCTAGTCATCTAATCATTTATAAATTCATCTTCTTCAAAAATATATTTAACTCTATTTAGAAACTTATAAAATGTGTGTAAATTAATCCAACATTAAATGCACATACATAATATTAGCAATGTGGTAGTTCATTGAGTTCATGGACTTGAAGTGCCAATTTTCTCCTTGCACCTTGAATATTAAATTGAAGTTCTCTATTTCTGACAATCTATGAATATTCAGACCTTCACTGAATGTGACTGATTCCACTCAATACAGTAATGAAGGAACATTAATATAAAAAACAAAGTGCTAGCAAAACATCTGCAGAGAGAGAAACAGTTTTAATATGTTGAAGCCGATGTGACTCTTCTTTGGAACCTGAACTGGAGAATGAAGGAACACTGTTGTGCAGTATGAGCAGCTATGACGTGGAGGTACCAGTGCTGGACTGGGGTGGACAAAGTCAGAAGTGACATGATGCCAGGTTATAGTCCAACAGGTTTATTTGAAATTACAAGCTTTCAGAGCACAGCATCTTCGTCAGGTTCAGTGAGCTCACTTCATTTGATGAAGGGGCTGTGCTCTGAAAGCTTGTGATTTCAAATAAA